TGGTCCTGACTTGGGCTCCTGAGTCCTATGGCAATACAAAGAAATAATAATAAGAATAATGGAGAAGGTTTATCTAGAAGCAGCTGCTTACCTCCTGTTAATACAGAAGAACCAGGAAGTGAAGCTAGCGAAGAGAAGCATACATAGTGAACAGACAGCATCAGTGCAGCCAAATCAATGAGATGTTAAAGTTTCTGTCCATTTCAATAGCCTCAGGTGCTGTCAGTAATGCAGGGAAGGTATTGAAACAAATAGGGGATTATTCTTTTGACTGTGTTGCTGTAAATAATGTTTTAGAGTCCTGTCACATTCTTCATCCCAAAGCACGTGATTGGGCACATGAAGGGACTGCTCCCCTTTCTGCTGAAATGCAGCCACCTCTGGGGTGGGATGCCACAGCCATACTCAACCAACACTATATTTTATAGGAGGGGAAGTAAATAATAACAATATTATACATTTACAGGGCCACATAACATCCAATCCTAAAAGTACAGGGGCTAGGGCACCACTGGAGATGTTGAGAGGGAGATAACAGGAGGAGAAAGGGGATATTTTTGGCCACGGGCATTGGGGCAAACTGTGATTCTTAGAAAAAGTGTGGTGGGATCTTTACCATCTCTGAAGATCATTCGGGGTCATGTTTGTTAGGGCCTCATCTAAATACAGAGCTATTTACATGCACTGTCAACTGCAGCTTCCCTATCATGGAAAAACAATAACGTAGAATTGCTGCACAAGTTCAGCCCTGTGGTCCACCTAGCCCAGTATCCTGTCTGTGACAGTGGCTAACATAGGCTGTTTCATAGGAAGGTGCAAGAAACTCTGCAGTGGACTGTTATGAAATTACCTGGCCCCAGGTGAAGTCTCCTCCTATCTCTATCAGTTAGAAGTTGATGCATGTCCTAAAGCAGAAGGGTTTCTATCCCTTCTATTTTTGTCTCCTCTCTAATGTAACCCTGGATGTTTTCATTATTCACATAAATGTCTCATAGACTCATAGACTTTAAGGTCAGAAGGGACCATTATGATCATCTAGTCTGACCTCCTGCACAACGCAGGACACAGAAGCTCACCCACCCACTCCTGTAACAAACCCCTAACCTATGTCTGAGTTATTGAAGGCCTCAAATCGTGGTTTAAAGACCTCAAGGTGCAGAGAATCCTCCATCAAGTGACCTGTGCCCCACGCTGCAGAGGAAGGCAAAAAACCTGCCAATCTGCCCTGGAGGAAAATTCCTTCCCGACCCCAAATATGGTGATCAGCTAAACCCTGAGCATGTGGGCAAGCCTCACCAGCCAGCACCCAGGAAAGAAGTCTCTGTAGTAACTCAGATCCCACTCCATCTAACATCCCATCACAGATCATTGGGCATATTTACCTGCCAATAATCAAAGATCAATTAATTGCCCAAATTAGGCTATCCCATCATACCATCCCCTCCATAAACTTATCAAGCTTAGTCTTGAAGCCAGATATGTCTTTTGCCCCCACTGCTCCCCTTGGAAGGCTGTTCCAGAACTTCACTCCTCTAATGGTTAGAAACCTTCGTCTAATTTCAAGTCTAAACTTCCTAATGTCCAGTTTATATCTAAACAAGCCAAGCTCTTTGAATCTCCTTTCTTAAGACAGGTGTTCCATTCCTCGGATCATCCTAGTAGCCTTTCTCTGTACCTGTTCCAGTTTGAATTCATCCTTCTTAAACATGGGAGACCAGAACTGCATACAATATTCCAGATGAGGTCTCACCAGTGCCTTGTATAACGGTACTAACACCTCCTTATCTCTACTGGAAATACCTCGCCTAATGCATCCCAAGACCGCATTAGCTTTTTTCACGGCCATATCACATTGGCAGCTCATAGTCATCCTGTGATCAACCAATTCTCCAAGGTCCTTCTCCTCCTCGGTTACTTCCAACTGATGCGTCCCCAATTTATAACCAAAATTCTTGTTATTAATCCCTAAATGCATGACCTTGCACTTTTCACTATTAAATTTCATCCTATTACTATTACTCCAGTTTACAAGGTCATCCAGATCATCCTGTAGGATATCCCGGTCCTTCTCTGTATTGGCAATACCTCCCAGCTTTGTGTCATCCGCAAACTTTATTAGCACATTCCCACTTTTTGTGCCAAGGTCAGTAATAAAAAGATTAAATAAGATTGGTCCCAAAACCGATCCCTGAGGAACTCCACTAGTAACCTCCCTCCAGCCTGACAGTTCACCTTTCAGTACGACCCATTGTAGTCTCCCCTTTAACCAGTTCCTTATTCACCTTTCAGTTTTCATATTGATCCCCATCTTTTCCAATTTAGCTAATAATTCCCCATGTGGAACCGTATCAAATGCCGTACTGAAATCGAGGTAAATTAGATCCACTGCATTTCCTTTGTCTAAGAAATCTGTTACCTTCTCAAAGAAGGAGATCAGGTTGGTTTGGCACGATCTACCTTTTGTAAAACCATGTTGTATTTTGTCCCAATTACCATTGATCTCAATGTCCTTAACTACTTTCTCCTTCAAAATTTTTTCCAAGACCTTGCATACTACAGATGTCAAACTAACAGGCCTGTAGTTACCCGGATCACTTTTTTCCCTTTTCTTAAAAGTAGGAACTATGTTAGCAGTTCTCCAGTCATACAGTACAACCCCTGAGTTTACTGATTCATTAAAAATTCTTGCTAATAGGCTTGCAATTTCATGTGCCAGTTCGTTTAATATTCTTGGATGAAGATTATCTGGGCCCCCCCGATTTAGTCCCATTAAGTTCGAGTTTGGCTTCTACCTCCATATCCTCATTCCCATTTGTCTTCCTACTATTATCCCTAAGCTCCTCATTAGCCTCATTAAAGACTGAGGCAAAGTATTTGTTTAGATATTGGGCCATGGCTAGATTATCCTTAACCGCCACTCCAGCCTCAGTGTCTCATTCTGCTAAGCTCTTGCTTGACTTGAATGTTATGTCTTGGAGCAATGAGTTCCAGAAGTTTAATAGTGCTTTGGGTATAAAACCTGAGGCTATGTCTACACTACAGAGCTTATGCCAGCATAGCCCCCTGGTGTAGACACAACATATGCCGTCAGAAGTTTTTCTGTTAGTGTAGGAATACCACCTCCCCGAACAACATTGTCTAAGCTGACCAAAGCACTTTCTGTCAGCATAGCTGCATCTACACTGAGGGTTTTGTCAGCATAGCTACATCACTAGGGGGTGTGGTTTTTTTTCACACCCCTGACTGATATTGCTATGTTAGTATAAGTTTTAAATGTTCACTCCTATGTGGCCTAAAACACGGAGAAGGGGAAGAGAACTAAAGTCATTCACACATTGTAATAACAATGGACAATGCATCAAAGCATCTCTGCTTGCATAAGCTAGAGGAGACTAGCAAATCTAAGATCCCAACACCCCTTAATGACTGCTTTGCTAGCAGCTCACAACTGGGGTCCCACATTCTGGCTCCACTTGCGACGTCTTCCTGGACACTGCTGTGTTATTTGATGTGCATAGGTTCACGCCCCAACTTGCTTCGCAATAACTTGCCATAGAAACAACCCATAAGTAGGGTGAGCCTGGACCAGTGCTTGAATGGGACATCTTCCAGGAAGTGGTGTAGGTTCTTCATTGGGAGGTGCTCTTCCTGAGTTGTTACCAAACTCCTAGTAGCATGGCGTTATGGGGTGCTGTAGTACAGGTGCTATGTTTTAGATGAGGTGTAAAACTGGTATCCTGCTCACTCCTGTTCATTAAAGATCCCTGAGCAATTTTCTCAAGAAGGGTTTTCACCCCTGGGTCAGAGCCAAATTCCTCAGTGCTTGACGGAAGGTGGGGGAGTTGCATGTTAAAGGCCACTGTTGCAGTGATGGGGGGAAACTTGCACATTAGAGGTTACTGTTGCAGTTCCAGGGGTGTTGGGGAACTTGCATGCTTGAGGTCACTGTCACAGTGCTGGGGGAACTTGCATGCTTGAGGTCACTGTCACAGTGCTGGGGGGAACTTGCATGCTTGAGGTCACTGTCACAGTGCTGGGAGGAACTTGCACGCTAGAGGTCACTTCCATAGTGCGGGGGAGCTTGCACGCTAAAGGTCACTGTTGCAGTACGAAGGGTGGGAAACTTGCACTCTAGAGCACTGTTCCACTTTCAGTGCTATTTGTGTCAGGCATTGTTGGAGGAACAGCCCGAGGGATTTACAACCTCTCTGGCAGAAGAGCCTTTCCTGCGGCTGGCAGGTTAACAGCTGGACTGCCATACATGCTGACAGCTGCCCCGTGAGTGGAATTGCTGCTCAGGGGAGCACCTCGCTGATTTACACTCATGGCAGGCAGCGAGGAATAGGGGACACAGCCACTTAGCCTGGGGCTGGAGCCTGCAGCAACAGTGAATCATGGCAGAGGCTTGCAGGCAATTACCGTTCTGAATCAGAGGTGGGATTGCCCTTCCCTAGGTGTCCTGGAGGACATGGCATTGGCTTCAAGTGACAGAGGGGAGGGGGTGGGATCCTGACTGCTCTGCTCTTTGATGCTAGTTCATGAATGGAGCAGTGAGACCAGTCAGTCTGGAGGGGAGGGTCATATTTCCATATCTTCCAGGCAGGGACAGCATGCTCTGTTCACGTTTCCTGGGACAGGAGGGCACGTGGCAACCCTGGAAAGGCAGGAAGTGGGCACCGACTCCCACTGCGGTAGCCAGAGGCTGCACAATATGGGAATTGGGCATCAGTCACACGGAGCATCATCCCGGCATGAAGCACAGACCTCTGACCCCTCTCGCCTGCCAGCTGAGAGGATTATCCCTAAGGAGTAACCTCTAAATGGGATCTATTGCCTCTCTGAGGATGGCAATCTGGGATTCATTCTTTAGCCAGTTAATTGCAGGAGCTAATCAACGCTCTGTTCAGCGGGCTGGCTTTCCCCTTTCTGCTGCAGGCTATTAACTTCTCCCCCTGTTCTCTCTCCCCCTCTTCCCCGGTTCCCCTGGGCACCTGGAGCAGCAGCGGCCGGTGAAGCAGTCCCTCAGTAAGTCCCTCTGCAGAGAATCCCACTGGAAATGCCTGCTCCTCTCCCTTCTCATGTACGGCTGCATGGGAGCCATGACCTGGTGCCATGTGACCAAGGTCACCCGGCTGACCTTTGACAGCGCCTACAAGGGCAAGTCCATGATGTATCACGATAGCCCCTGCTCCAATGGCTATGTTTACATCCCCCTGGCCTTCCTGGTGATGCTCTACGTGGTCTACCTGGTGGAGTGCTGGCACTGCTACACCCGCAACGAGCTGCAGTACAAGGTGGACGTGGAGAGCGTGCACGAGCGGGTGCAGAGAATGCAGCAGGCCACCCCGTGCATCTGGTGGAAAGCCATCAGCTACCACTATGTCCGGAGGACCCGGCAGGTCACCCGCTACCGCAATGGGGATGCCTACACCACCACCCAAGTGTATCACGAGAGGGTCAACACCCACGTGGCGGAGGCCGAGTTTGACTACTCCAACTGTGGGGTCAAGGACATCTCCAAAGACCTGATGGACCTGGAGAGCTACCCAGCCACTCGGCTCCGCTTCACCAAATGCTTCAGCTTTGCCAATGTGGAGTCCGAGAACTCCTACCTGACCCAGCGTGCCCGCTTCTTCACCGAGAACGAGGGGCTGGACGACTACATGGAGGCCAGGGAGGGGATGCACCTCAAGAACGTGGATTTCAAGGAATACATGGTGGCCTTTTCAGACCCAGACAACCTTCCCTGGTACGTGTCCCACTACGTCTTCTGGGTGGCTGCCCTGCTGACCCTGTCCTGGCCTCTGCGGGTGCTGAATGAGTACCGCACTTCCTACGTCCATTACCACGTGGAGAAGCTCTTTGGGTTTGACTTTGTGGCCGTAACACCAGCTGAGGAGCGCTCCTTCTGCAGGAGGATGCCCCGTGTCAACACGGTGGACAGCACTGAGCTGGAGTGGCACATCCGGTCCAACCAGCAGCTAGTGCCCAGCTACTCAGAGGCCGTCCTGATGGACTTGGTGGGGCTCTCCAGCTGCACCAGCTACTCCGCTTGCAGGTACGGGGGCTACCGGCAGAACTGCGAGCGGTGCCACAGGACTATAAGCAGCTCGTCCATCTTCTCCCGCAGCGCCCTGAGCATCTGCAACGGCAGCCCCAGGATCCCCTTCAGCAGCAGCCGCTTCTCGCTGGGCCGCCTCTATGGCTCCCGGCGCAGCTGCCTCTGGCAGAGCCGGAGTGGGAGCCTGAACGAGCAGAGCTGCCCAACCGAGCAAACCCGGCTCTCCAGCCAGGTCACAGTGCAGGAGGAGGACCCTCCTGCTTACCAGGACGCCCTCTACTTCCCCGTCCTTATTGTGCACCGCAACGAGGGCTGCCTCAACCACGACCACCGTCATCTCCATCGGAACGGGTCCTGCATGGAGACCTCACTGTGAGTGGAGGGCGGCAAGGATCTCCCTCTTGATCACCGTGTCTCCAGACACAGGGACTTGGGAAGTGGGGGGATAGCCAGGAAAATGAGGCACCAGTGCCCCACTCAGCATGTGGGATGGAGAGGTCACCGCCTCTTGGTCTCCAAGGATAGGCTCAGCAGCTGCTGCATTTGCCACATGGCTCCTTTGATGTCACGGAGAAGAGGGTGGCAGCAGGATGGGCGAGCAGCAGCGCCATCTGTGGCATGGCACAAAATGACAGACCGACGACCACATGCAGAAAATGGTAGAAAAGAAAGGACTGAAGGCGGGAGCTGGGTGCTGTAGTTCCACGCTCTGCCTCGAAAGGCCCTGGCTGGCTGGAATAGTGCTAAATGACAACTACTGCCCACCACCCTGCTGCACCCGTGACCTCCACCCCTCTCCCCCAGCGCTGCAGACTTATTCTCCCGCAGAGGGGTCTCGCACGGGGCCAAGGGGAGCAAGGTCTGGCAGCACATTCCCTTTGGAGCAGCAATTAACTCCTCATGCGCCAAAGATCCTGGGGCACCCAGGCCCATAGAGCTGAAGGGCAGTTTAGAGGAAATGCTCAAGACCACAAGGCCAACTCTTTCCTCCTTTTGTTGAGACTGCGCTCCGACTGTTACACTGTCCTCAGCTGCTGGGATGGGCATTGCCACCAGATGGCTCTTTAGAAAGCCTCAGCACTCCAGGGCCAAGAATCGGCATCGCCTAGGTAAAGCTTAAAGCATTCCAAGTACTTTTCCATTTGGGGTTGCAAAGAGCAGGAAGCAACAGGGAATCTACTGAGGAAAGGCCAGACCCGGCATGAGAGCGCAGTCACAGCATGAAGCCAGTAGGTCTGGCAGGAGAAGGCCCAGCCTGCAAAGCAAACCCAGGAGACCTTTGTGTGCTGGGAGTCTTCGGGAAGCCAAAGACATCCGATGGGGAAGGGGTGAGTTGGGCAGCTGGGGACCCCCAGGTCTTGAAGTGAGCAAGGTCTAGTCATAATTAATTCAGCCAAGCAAGGAGTCTGGCATCCAGGGAGGTTCTGTTAGGTTCAACTGCAGTTTACCTATGAATAATAGAAGAGCAGGTTGGCAGGTCTCGGGGAGAGTGAATATTACATGAAGTCAAGTTGGCTCCAGACTCCAGTCATTAATATGAAGGGAAGCTGGGTTTGGCACAGAGCTCTGAGGGCAAGGAGAGGCTAGAGATGGGTGGTGATGTAGAGAGGCCCAGAGTTTCTGCTGTCCATGCTGGTGAAGGGAAGGGCGGCTAACAATCTGAAACAATGCAACCCCTTTGGCCCATGTGGTTACAAAGCGGGCTCCTCTCAGCATGATCCTCAGCTCCTGCGCCCCACGCTCCTCTCCGAAGGGTTTCCACTGGCTCCTCAGGGGACTACCATAAATAGCCTGCCCAGCAACCTCTTTAGGGTGCCTCCCTCATAGCACAGCCCAATGGGCAGAATCCTCTGGCTGGCTGAAAGGTGAATGGACACAATCCCATTGAAAATACTCCGCAAAGGTCATGCTCCCAGGTTCCGTACAGAGTCTGCGAGCACGTTTACCAGAGGTAAAAGAACCCACCAAGCCCTGAGGGCATGAGCCAGTTCCCTGGGAGGAGCTAAACATCATCAATGGTGGCATGAATGCAGCTCCCTGCCCCGCTCTGGGCAGAAACAGAACCTTCAACTCAGGTGTCTGCAGCAGGAAAAACAACAGTTCACCTTTCAGGTGCCAGTCTTGCGATGGGATCCATGTGAGTCGCCCCGTGCATCAACAGAGAGCCCCATTGGTCAGTGAGGGTCCACCTATGCAATCCAATAGCAGGATCAGGGCCTAAATGGGTCACTCCTTGAAACTAGTGCATGTGGGTGAGATCTCCTGCTCGGTTGGGCTTGTGGGTGAGGCCATTCAGGAGTCGATCCTACGTACTCATGCTCCTGCAAATGGTCCTTATAGACATGAGCAGTCACTTGAAGTCAGTGGTTCTACTCGCCACGGGTCAGGGTGGCAGGATCAGGTCCTCAGAGAGCAGCAGCAATGACCACACAAGGCATTTCTTCTACGCTAAAATACAGAGGGTGGTTAGAAATGAGGGGATCATTTTGGAACAAGCTCAAGGAAACCCCTGATGGCCCATTACCTGGCTGCAGTGAGTTGCTTTGTCCCACTGTCATGTCACACTAGGGTCTGAATGTAACCTTTTTTGTAACCCTGGAATGGACTGACCACGGTTGCCCCCCTTTCACCACTTCATATGCACATACCCAGAGGGATCGGAGTCTCAGCATGCTCCCAGTCCTGCAAACCCTTACTCATGTGAGGAGTCCTTACTCACTGGAAGCAATGAAGCTACTTGCATGAGGAAGGATTTGCAGGATTGGGCCCATAAATACTTCGTGGGAGGAGGGAAAAAGGAAAAGTTATCAAGGCTGAACTGTATTTTTTGTAGAGATCTTTCAAAGTCTGTGCTAGGATGTGAGAAAGGGGTGATGAGATAATGCCTCTTAGGCCCACAAGCTCTGGGCTGGCTCTGTCTGTATTGTCTTCTCCATTAGAACATCACCGCACCTCTTGAACTCATTATAGGCTCACCAGTTTTCCTAAGGCCCCTTTTCTAATCAGCCAGCTGGTCTGTGCTTGTTGAATGGCCAAGTTCTGGCCTTGGCCAGTGATCACCCCAGTCCCTGCTGTCCATCAGCCCCGTTGCAGTCCCATCATTCACCATGGCAGAGAACTGCATGGAGCGATTCCCACCCCTAGCCAGCAGCAAGCTTTGAACCCAAGCAGCAGCATAGTTCTCCACTGCTTGAGCTAAAGGACCAACTCCAGTAGCTGGCAGCAGCAGCAGGCAGGAAACGTCTATCCCTCTGCAGGTCTGCTATAGAAAGGGGACAAGTAACACACTGAATCATGTGTTACATTGCATTTGGTTCAGCCAGACCTCCCCTGGTCCATTTCGGCATGTAATGTGCTGTACTGTTTCACTGACTAGATCTCAGTGCCTGTACCACTTCCTGCATCCCCCGCCCCTCTCCTCAGTAATGCTGTTGTGTTGGTCACTTTCCAGAATCTGACCTACCTTTAGGGGATTTCTCTAATAAGAATTAATACTTCACTAACTTCTCCCCTTATTTCCAAGATAAAAATCTTTCCCCATGTTACTAACAGGACCTGAGACTGTTGGATCTGAAAGAATTTTAAACATCTCATTGACTTTCCCCCATCGCTGTTTATTCTCTGTTCTGCTATTACTCAATTAAATTAGGCTGGTCAGTTTCACCCTGAGTTTTCTAGTCAGTTTCACTTGTTCTCAGGTACTAAAACAAAGACTGTTTGAACTGAAACTTTTTAAAGCCTCATAGTTCCATTCAGATTTTGTCTTGTCAAACTCCCCTCCTCCCCCTACAAAACCTACATTTTGGGCTTAAATGGCATTTAAGAACTGGTAGGTTTAAATAACCAGGCCCTAGGCTATCCTCCTGCTCTTCTGTTTCCATTGTTGTCTGCACACTATGCAATGCTTCTGCCAAACGGACCTGGTGGAAGTGGCTACAGCTCCACTGGCTCCTCTTATACCAATTGAATTTGGCTGCCAGTGCCTCATTCTCCTCCCACTCAGGGCCCAGTGCAACTCCAGTTAATGTCAATGGAATAGCTCCTAGTGACGTTAATGGGAGATGATGGAATGTGCCCTTGTGCCTTGGTAATGAGGAGTATCCCCACTGAAGTCAATGGAGTTAAAATGGGCTGTGACTGGGGCATGTGAAAGGGGACTCAGGCCCTCTTGTCCTTCTCCAGCTGTTCCATTTTAAAACTGCTCATGGCTTAGATTAGGCTACCCTTGCCATCTTTCTGTGCCCAGGTGCCTTAGATCCATGGATTTATCATAGGGGTCGGCAAGTCTTTCAGTTCCCTTGGGAACTGGGAAGCCCACAGAACAGGGGCAGGTTAGAAAGCTTTACTTGCCACATCCTTTATCGCCAGCAGCAAAACTCTACTGCCTAACACTCTGCCCATTAGCTTTGTCCAGTTCTGTTCACACCAAGATTCTTTTCCCCTGGGTTCAGGTTCATCTTGGTCCTTAGGGCTGGTCTACACTGGGGTGGGGGGATCGATCTAAGATACGCAACTTCAGCTACGAGAATAGCGTAGCTGAAGTCGACATATCTTAGATCGACTTACCTCCTGTCCTCATGGCGTGGGATCGATGGCTGCGGCTCCCCCGTTGACTCCGCTTCTGCCTCTCACGCTGGTGGAGTTCTCGAGTCGACGGGGAGCGCATTCAGGGATCGATTTATTGTGTCTAGATGAGACGCGATAAATCGATCCCCGATAGATTGATTGCTACCCGCCGATCTGGCGGGTAGTGAAGACGTACCCTTAGATAGCTCCATTTTCACCCACACCACCCTCAAAAACTCATTGTGGAGATTGTCCTACCAGCCAGCAAGACTAGGCTTCTTCTGGACGCTGCTGCTGACTTGGTCAGAGGGGCTCTGCAGAGTGAGGGGAACCACCCACTCCCCCAGCACTTGGGACTGAACTAACTTCCCCACTCCCAACCAAGTTCATGTTTCAAACACAGCTTCCCCATGTGGCACCATTAGGCTCGCTAATGCTGCTGGGAGAAGTTTTGCCTGGAATTCTCCACCACCCAAGCCTGGGCCAAGATTGTCCAAGATTGCTTGAAGCCCCTCCAAGCTCTCACCCCGCCTACCCCTCTGTGGACTGAGATGTTGCCTCTACAATGTCCCGAGCCCCTGCTAGCCCCAGGGAGAGAAAAAGTGGGTTCAGTAATCAAACCCAGGCCTCCCACAGAGCAGCACTTGTACTGGAACCACTAAGCCACCGCTGATTTGGGAGCACCTTTAAGAACAACATGACATCTCATAGGCCAGCCCCCACTTCTCCTTCAGCAATAGGGAGCAAAGCTGCCCCCTGGAGTCTGATCTTCCGCCACGAACTCCTCACCCAGTTCTGATCCCCACTTTGAGAGGAAGGCAATTAATAGCCCTAGCTCCCCTTTCCCTGAGCCACCCTTTACCTAACGGTGTTGGCAGCGCACAGCGGGGCCAGGTGCTAGGATACATGGGGAAAGCTCGTGCCATAGACGGGAGGTTAAGCACGAGGCATCTCTATCTGATGAGGAAAGGGCAGACTCGGCCTGCGTCTGTGCGTGACCGCACACAACAAAGGCTCTGACCAGCTCGGCTCTGCAGCCCAGCTGCCTCCTCCCTGCTCTCCTGACGCTAGCCCTTTAATAAATCCAGCTGTCCACTTGAGTTAAGATTCTCCTCCCCCATCAGATAAGAGATTCTCACCATGTAGCGGAGGAGTCCCCTGGGCTGAGGGGAGGAAATGCTGAGATCAGTGGCCAATTAATCCCTTTCAAATCCAGCAGCTTCTCCAACACACTGCCTTTTTTCTAAGCGCTGCCCTAAGGCAGATGGCAGCATGCAGGGCCAGCGCTCTGGGGTATCTGCCTATCACCCCTGCATCCTTCCTGTGTCCCTTTGCGCTTGCTGAGATTCTGCTGAGAGGATGATGACGGGAGCAGTGCAGCTGCCAGCCTAGGCACTGGTACACACTAGAAAGTACCTTGACGGGAACAGTCACCCAGCCCGGGTCCCTAGGGGGCTGAATCAGAGCAGCTCCATTTGTATGGGACTGTGTCTCATCTGACTTTCCTGGACCCCAACAAGAAGGCTATGTGGGGGAGAGGGGCTCCATCCTCCTCTCCGGTTCCCTCCTCCCCCAGTCCTGAGTTACAATGGAGTCCGGCAGGTGCCTTGCCTGAGAGCATGAGCAGGGGCTAGGATAAGCCCTTCCAGCCCAAGCATTTCCCTCCCTGGGGCAGGACAAGCCACGGTCATGAAGGGACACCTGGCTGCCAACTCTAACAGCATAGTGGATGTGCCGCATCTGGGCACGGGGCACAGCCAAGGGGGTTGGGGGGAGCAGGGATGAAGGCAGGAGATGGCCTGGGCTGAGGATGAGAAACCTAGAGAGGATGGGCTTGAACCAGGGACTCACAGAGGTTTTCCCCTCCCTCTTTCCCTTTTGACAGGCCATTTAGTCCAGCCATTCACCTGGGGCCTCAGCCCAGAGTTCAGTGCACCACCCTTACCCCCTCCCCCATATTCCTATCCCAGGGGACTGGGGGGAGAGAATAGCAGCATCCAGAACTGGTGCATGTCTTTATGAAGGAGTGAGGGGGCTAGTAGACGTGTGTATCCTGTTAAATGGGAGGAGCGAGGAACCTACCATGTGTCCAGTCAAGCTCACATGAATGGGGAGATGTTTTAATTCTCCAAGGGACACAAGTTATTTACACTGTCAGCACAAAGAACCAATCCTCCAGTCTGTGTGGCAGTAACCACCACTTGCATTTCATCCCGTCCCGGTTGGGATGGGACCCAGGGACCCCCATGTGGCTATAGGCTTAGCAGCACTGTCTGAACTGGCCAGGTATCCATTCTCCCTGCAGTCTAGTGTCTGATCTCAGCTATGTCTGTGCTGGTGATGGTGATTCCTTTGGCAGCTCATTCGATTGCCCGTCTGCTCATCTCATGGTAGCATGTTGCCTGATATCTAACTTGAATTCTCCCTGCTGTATCTTAATCCTGTTACTTCTCCTCCATTGACTAATGAGAGTAATTGGCCCTGTTTCTCTCTGGAACATCCCTCTCTGTATGAGCAGACCTGTACCCTCTCTCTTCAGCCTTCTCTTCTCCAGAGCCCAAGTGCCCACTTTCTTCCAGGATCTTATTACACAGACCATGTGCTTGCTGGACTGTGCAACCTTTTCCTGTCCAAAGATTCCTTCCTTGTATCCTACTTGTATCCAGCCCTGAAGAAAGCCAGCCCGGGAGAGGGGAAAGGGGCAAAGCAAGGAGGGGCCATTATCCTGCAAGCTGAGGCTCATCTCAGGGCTGATTTTCCCTCTCCTAACAGCTCAGCAGATCTCTGGAGAGTGATTTTGCTCTCCGTGTCGTAGGTGCCTGGCGCTGTTCTCCCTATATGTGTGGAGAGCAGAGTGGCCCCACCCCTACGGCCCAGATCAGAACATATCCCTTAGTGAAGGTAGGAGTACGCTGGAGCTGGGTTGCAAACAGGGCTGCCTGGGGGGGGGGCATGCAAATAAGGCCCCGCAGGGGCCCCCACAAGAATATAGTATTCTATAGTATTGCAACTTTTTTTTATGGAAGGGACCCCCGCAATTGCTTTGCCCCAGGCCCCCTGAATCCTCTGGGCGGTCCTGGATGCAAAGTGAGGGGGAAGGACAGGGTAAACTTTTTTCATCCCTGTCCCACCCATTGCAGTCTCCCATATACTGGGGTTTGTTCTCAGCACAATGCTTGACAGAGCAGGCTTTTGCCCACGGAACACGCTGCTTGAAACCGGACAGCAGCCAGGCCCTTCTCTTCCCAGCACGTGGAGCAGCTAATACAGCTTTCAAAGAGAGTAAGGTTAAATAATACTCTTGAGCTACTTTGCGTTTCCTGTTGCTGCCAACATACTTGCCATGCAAGAACCTGTCAAGTAGTGTAGGCCCCAAGGCACGCGCGTGTGTGTGTGCGTGTGTATGTGTGTGTTTCAGCCAACCCTAATCTGAATAGACATATTGCCATAATTTTAGCCATGATCATTTTTCCTTTTGAATCTTCCCCAACAGCGCTGGGTTCCCAACCGTTTTGCTAGTGCAGTGCAAGGAAGTGAAACTGACCAGCCTCGTGTCATTGCCTGCAATGCAACATGTCAAACAAACAGTACTGATGAGGACAGCAGGTGAATTTTCATAATGTTCTTTCAGATTTAACATTAGCAGGCACTGTTAATAAGGCAGGGAGAGGAAACCCCTCTGTATAGCCAACCCCAAGCATTCAAATATGAATCAGCCCCCCCGATGCATAGCCTGGCTTAAAAAGGATAGGATTTTTAAAAATAAATACATTTGGGGTTCTTTTTATCTGCCTTTAGGTCTTTGAGCCTTTACAAGTCACATTTTCAAGCTCTTCTCCCCAACCACAAGGACTTAGAACTTCCTTTTTTCTTTAAATGAAAGCGGAGACCCTCACCATATAATGTGACTCCCAAGAGCTGGAGCTTGATGAAGAACACCAACAATCACGGGAGTTGACAACACTGCTTTTAAGACCTGATTCTTGACAATCCAGGGCAGTGCTGATGGCCAGCAAATTTTCACTATGGAAAATGTAGTGGCTACTGTTTGCTTGACTTTTAAAAAAAAAAAACTCTTTAAAAATACTCACAATCCAGAGAAATAGCCCTTTGCTGCCCTTTGTTTCCCAAAGAATTAGTTAACTTTTCTCATCTTTTCCCCGTGTTCTGATTAGGCTGAAGTAGCAATTGAGGGCACAGGTGATTTTCTCTACTCACTACCTGGGAAGCAGGCGGGGGAAGGGTACTGCATATGCTCAGTGGTGACACTGTTTACGAAGAGCAAGATGGCTGACACTGCGCATGTGAGTGGCCTTTACATGCAGGCCCCCATTCTGCAACTGGCTCTACAGGAGTGGTCCTCTGCACCTACGCAGAGTCCACTAGGGGCCTGCCTGGGGGGATTCAACTGTAAGATTGGGGCCTTAATCTTTAAGATGAAAAAAGGGTGAAAAGCCAAGTAGCACCTGGTTTCAGGGGCAATAACAGTATAATATCGCCCCTATGATTTAAGCATTACTCCTGGGGTGAAATAACATCCTTAGCCTTTTGTTCCAGCCATTCTGATTACAACCTTGGCGGTGTGATATGTTGGGTCATATACAATTTGGGTTGTTTTTTTCTCCTTCCCCTTGTGCTAACTTGAATGGATATAATCGGCATTTTGGAAAGAAGGGAAAGGGGTATAGCCAAGGTGCAGGTAGAAATTAAGGGGCTGTGTTGAAGCCAGTGGAGCTTCACAAGGGTGAATATGGCCCATCTTCTCCACTTGCCCTTGAATCCAGACTAATCAATCCCTTGCAATATTTATTTTATGACTGGAATTAACATTGGGATTTTGGTGAATAAATCACCTTCCAGAATCTACCTGGTCTTCAGCAATGGGCTTGTGAGATCCAGGTACTCCTGAGGCCAACCTGTTGTCAGGAGGTTCTGCTCTCCTCCCTCCGTCATGGAACCTAGAGTTACACTTTGAAGGGGAATGTTATGCCCAAGGATTTGATCTCGTCAGCTGCATTGAAACA